GTTCGAGACCCGCCTGGGCAGCAAGACCTCATCTCTACAATAAAAAAAATCAAAAAATCAGCCGGGCGTGGTAGCACATGCCTGTAATTCCGGTTACTTGGAAGGCTGAGGCAGAAGGATCGCCGGAGCCTAGCAGGTCGAGCCTGCGGTGGCCGGGAATGGCCACTGCACTCCAGTCGGTGACAGAGTGAGACTCCAACTCAAAAAAAAGAATATATATATATATATATATATACTCTATGATTTGAAAGCAATTTTTTCCATCAAAAATTTGCTAACAATGTGACAATTTAGTCTTTCCAAATGTCTCTGCTCCAGAAAAAAATAATTTAAAATGTATTATCATACGATTGTACTCCACAACTTTTTTTTTTTTTTTTGCTTTTGAATATTTTATTTTATTTTTAAATTTTATTTTAAAGATCTGGGGTATGATTCAGGATTAGGTATACAAATGTTCATTATGCAGGTATCCTTGCTGATGAGGTGTGCCCCTCCTACCCCTGGCAGTTTCCCTCAACTGCCAATGCTACTCCCCCTCTTCTGGCAGTTTCCCACTACCGCCAATCCCTTTCTTATAGTATTGTGATAATTGTTCAAGATCTGCTTATGAGTGAGAACATATGGCACTCTGTTTTTTGATTCTGTGATAGGTCACTGAGTATGATAAGATTATAAAACCATCCAAGTTGCTGCAAAGTCCATATGTTTGTCCTTCTTTATGGCTGCATAATATTCCTTTGTGTATATGTACCACATTTTAAAAAATCTAGTCCAGTTTTGATGTGCAGCATGATTGGTTCCATGTTTTTGCTATTGAGAATAGAGCAGCAACAGACATGCATGTGCAGGTATCTTTTTTGTAGAATGATTTGAATTCCTCTGCCTATATTTCAATAGGGGGATCGCTGGGTCATATGGACAGTCAATTTCTAGTTTTTTAGAAATCGCCACACTGTCTTCCAAAGAGATTGCACTAGTTTGCATTCCCACCAGCAGTGTGGAAGAGTTCCTTTTTCTCTGCATCCTCACCAGTATCTGTTCTTGTTTGTTTTATTAATGATGGCCACTCTTACTGGGTTTAGGTGGTATCTCAATGTGGTTTTGATTTGCATTTCTTTGATGATTAGTGAGGCTGAGCACTTTTTCATGTGTTTGTTGGCTGCCCATATATCTTCTTTTGAGAAGTATTTGTCACAACTTTTTAGTCAGTCTGTAGAACCGCTTTTTAAAAATTTTAAAATTTTGTATTTTTTCCTAGGTATCTATGTTTGTGTCTCACTAAAAACTTTTAAAGCAACTGCTTTGCAGGTTTTCCCATCACCTTTGTGATACAGCCCCCCCCCGGATTAACAACATAAGACATCACTTTCAATCAATGCAAGCATCTTTCTTCTAAAATGCTTCAGAAAAGGAAGATGTGTTAAGGCACAGATTTTTTTTTAAAGAATGATTTATACACATAAAGACTCAAATTTACCTTCTTTCTGGTTCATATTTATTACCAAATGCCAAGTGGGCTGCTCTTTTAATGTCACCTGGATTTCAAATTTAACTAGGACAATTATTCAATACAAATGGACTCATCTTTCTCTTCACCAAATATTCTTTAGTATAACACCTTCTGTCTCCTAAAGGTCGGGAAGAAACAGATTACTTACTTTCTGTTCTAAGTTACTGACTTTTTTGCATTACCACTCTCCTGTCTCAGGTCCGTCATGTGCATGGTTGATGTCTTTCTTTGAAAGTTTCGTATGCTTTCACTCCTAAACAAACCTTGAACAATGATAATACTATAAGACAATAATTGGCAGTAGTAAGAAACTTTCAGGGGGGGGTGGAATTGGCAGTTGAGGGAAACTGCTAAGGAAGGGAGGGGCATACCTTATCAGCAAGGGTAACTGCATAATCAATGTTTGTATACCTAACTCTGATTTGTACCCCACATTTTTATAATAAAAAAGAAAGTTTTGCCTCACTCCTGTAAAGCACAGAGTATGCTCTGCCCTGACCCTCCTTGACATGTCCACCCTTCTGTCCTGCACCTCACTCTCAGATGTTTTCTGTACCTGTGTCTGTCACACCTTTAACTACAAATATTAAAATGTCTGCAAGTGCCTTGCCTCTATTAGTGACATAAAACCAGTGTTTTCACTCTGTCTTGAATTACCCTCAGTGTTGCAGGAAGATCAATGTATCTTTGTGATAAATGCAATTATGGAAAATACTTGGACTTTGGTCATGTAAACCACTTATCCACTTTGTCACTCAATTTCTGGGTAAATATAACATCATGTTTAAGAGATATTACTAAAAACACTCTTACAAATACAACATGTTATCTTTGTATTCTTAGCTTCTAACATATACCGAAAAAGGTGATGCCGAAAAAGGTGAAAAAGATGGTTCTTTCTACATTTCAAATATTATGATCTGCATATAAATTCTTCCTGAGTGTGACCATACTAAACATTGATTAAAAATGATATTTTTGTGTTTTTATGGTATTCAGAAAATTAATCAGAATTATTGAGGGAGTAGATATAAATGCAATTTTTTTTCAGAGTATGAATTGGATTTAGGTAGAAAGTTCAAAGAAGGAGAAAATGAAATTAAATTAATATATAATAATGGCATATAAACCAACATCTAGTAAACAAGTATAGTAAGTAAATAAAAGCACATCATATGTTATATGTAAAAGGTGAGAATTTAGTAACTAGAACTTAATGTAAATTATCATGTTTTATTTTCTACCTTAAAATATTTTTTCTTTTGATTTTTGAACATTTTTGTGTTAGTTATACTCTCTCTTCTGTTGCACAATTGTGTATACTTGCAGTATTCCAAAATGATGGCTATATAGTATCACTATAACTTACATTTGTAGCCTGAGTCCAGGGGCTTGAGATCAGCCTGGGCAACTTGGCGAGACCTAGTTTCTACAAAAAAGCCAAAAAATAAAAAATAAAAAATTAGCCAGGCATGGTGGCATGCATCTGGGATTCCAGCTACTTGGAACTACTTGGAAGTGCTGAGGCAGAAGGATCACCTGAACTCAGCAGGTCAAAGCTGTGGTAACCGCCTTGGTTATGAGGTTATTTGAGGGTTAGAGTAATATAATGCACCAGACACGGTGACTAGCATATGGTGACCCTACAGTGTTTTTCCTCTATCCCCTGTCTTTTATCTCCAAGAGTTGCTTGTCCAGACTCCATACACTAGACCCAGACCTGCTTCATGAGCTAGCAGTCTTGGAGTGGGTGCCATGCTTGCGGCCCCTCTTCTTGAAATTCTTAATCATCTTATCTGTGTGCACTTGTGTGTTTTCTAAGGGAAGTTTAATGGTGCAATGGGGCATGCATAGAATAGAGGAAGTGTGTTGGCCCCATGTAGGGCTGAGCTCTATGGACAGGCTGTACAATGTGTATTTTCATCACATGTGGGATCACAGGATGTAGTGGCCCCAGCGTGGATTTTTTTCTCTTCTCTCTCCTGCTGGGGTTTGCCTCTGATTAACTACCCACATATTCCATCCCAGCCTGGGTTCTCAGAGTTCCAATCAATTGACTCACCTGATAAATTAATTTGTGGTAGCATTAAGTATAAGAAATACTGTATAAGCTGGGCATGGTGACTCATGCCTGTAATCATAGCACTTTAGGAGATGGAAGCGAGAGAAATGCCTGAGCCTACAGGTTTGAGATCAGCCTGTGCAACAGGGAGAGACCTCGACTCTACAATACATAAAAAAATTAGCCGAGTGTGGTGGTGCACACCTATAGTTCCAGCTACTTGGAAGACTCAGGTGGGAGCATCACCTGAACCCAGCAGGTCAAAGTTGCAGTGTTTGTGAGCATGCCACTGAACTCCAACTTGGGTGACAGAGTATGACTCTGACTCCAAGAAAAAAAAAAGAAAAGAAAAAAGAAAAAAAGAGATACAATATAAATCCAAGGTCACATAAAGGATGTTAAGCTGGTCTACACTAGAAAAGCCCTTTCCTGCTATTTCTCCAAGATATACTGGAAAAAATGGAAGAAATTTGGCATAAAAAATGCACTTTTAATTAAATGCATTTTAATTTAATCAATTGACAATCCATCATGAACCTATGCTGTACATTTTACATCCTCAAAACTTTCTCATCCTATAAGAAGTTTGTACCCTTTGACCAACCATTAAAATGAATTATTGATTCTATAAAATACTATAGCTGGATATTTTGTTTATTCTTATGATAAGGGTTTACATAGAGAGGTATAAGTGTTAAATAATACTTAGAGTTAATATATGTGGTATATTAGCCTGAATTTCAACACTATATGATGTATTTTTAAAAAAATCTGTGAGTGTCTTAACTGAAGGCAAGTCATTTAAGTAAGTATTGGATTATGGTTTCAGGAGTTGTAAATATTGATCCTATTTATCAAAGAATAGACTGTTCATGATAGTTTTTTTGTTGTCTTTAAGAGAGAGAGTGGTAGAGAGTGATAGAAAGACAGAGAGACATACAGAAAGAGACAAAGACCACATTATAAAATATTTGTTCTCATATTATGTTCTTCTGAAAGAATAGAATCCCCAGATTCACACTTAAAATTATTCATGAAGTTTGCTAAGTATGCATGAAAAAAATAAAAGTAAGAGGACAATATCATGGAGTTTTGTATATAATAGGAAACCATTTTTAAGAACCTCTTATAATGTTTATATATCATAATTGGGAGATTTTATACTAAACATGGAAGAAACAAATTTTATTGTTTGAAGAAAAACCTCGATTCACTATATAATGGAAGTGAAATAAACTAATATTTAAGAATTGGCTCATAAATGTGATTTAAAATTACTTTACATCATTTTGGTGGAATAACAATAGAAAGAATTAAAGTTTTTGTTCATTTCTGTAGGAGAAAAGAAAAATAGAAAAATACAAATTTTGGTCACTGAAATATTGGGAATATTGTGATTTTCAGTGTTTGTCTTTGCATTTCCAGCTGTAGGCCTTGCTGCATGCCAGGAACCAGCACTCCCGAGCAATGGCATCAAACTAGGAGATCGGTACATGGTAAATGACGTGCTCTCCTTCCAGTGTGAGCCTGGATACACCTTGCAGGTATCTTTCTTTCAGGTTCTCAATAATAGCGTGTGTTCAACATGATGTTCTTTGGGCAGTTCACTTAAACCTAAAGCCCTCACTTTGTACCCAGACATTTAATATGGTTTTCCTCACTCAGTTTGTGAATCCTCCTATTTACATTAACTCATGCATCTTTTTTTTTTTTTTTACTTCAAGAATAAATACAAACTTTATCGATTCAGCCTTTAAGCTAATTTAAGACACACAAAATATATACCCACAATTTTACTTGACTTTATTGTGGCTGACAGCTCTTATTTTCCATTTTTCAGAATAAGGGTTCTATAAGGTTCCAAGAAAATCATGCATGTTGATAATCTTAATCACCATGTGGAAATAGCTTTCAAATGACAAAATATGCTTTCAGTGTCAAGCAGTCTATTTTTTAGCATTATTTTATTTCAAAATGTATGTGTTTTAGGTAACAATGCAGAGAGCATTCTAAGGGTGAAGTATTGACACTGTTTGAAAACCTGGCACCCCAATAATTTAAAGTTTCTCAGTCATTCGGTTCAATAAATCATCATTTATACTTACTCTGTGTCAGTTAAATAAGGTACCCAAATTATATATTTAAATAATTTCCAAGAAATGTTATGTAAAAGTTTTTAATATACTTTTTATATAAAAAGTTTTTATTTAAAATGTCTATATATTTTATGTAAATTAATACATGGCAAGATTGGTCATTTTTCTGTTATTTATTTTCTTGTTTAACTTTGAATATGCTTACTCCCAGAATAGTTCCCATCACTTAGAAAAATTCTTATATAATTCTCCCTGCCAACAATAAAAATTGTTAATCAAATTATGTGTATACCAATGTCCAGGAGAACTATTATGCTTATTCATTTTTCTACTATTCAGTTAATTCAAGCAGAATACTTTGGCTGTGTGTTTATGATGGCATTGAAGCTGATAGTCTTTCAAGGACATTTCTTTGTAACCATATTCTGGGATCACATGTAAAATAGCCTGTGTAAGCATCAGAAAGTGTTGCAACTACGCAGTAGTGAAATAACACCATTGCATAGAGTTCAGATTCTGCATGTATGATGGGGTAAATATGGAACTGAGTCAAGTAACAGCACTCCTGACGACAATAACAGCAGCTAGCAAAAACCAAATGCTGACTGCGTGATGAAACAAGCACTTCATATACAAACACTCATGTCATTTCCGATCAGCACATGCAGGTACCATAGATGTACACTCTAAGCTTAGAGAAAGTATCTGTAAAATATTCAGCACACTTCATTTAATGAAAACTATTGTTGCTCTTATTATAAACATATATCACTATATAAAGTCACCCTTATAAAAAACAAAAACAAAAACCTGCAACTCACATTATAAAGCTGGTGGTGAGTACTGCAGTCATTGCTGGAACTCTACAAAATTTCCCACAGTGGTGACTCTAGTGAGGAAGCTCTCTTGGAGTTGTGCCATCTTGATAAGTGTTTAGCCAAGTGCCTAGGACTATTTGGACTGATTCTTGAAGACACATCTTTCCTCCCTCACACGTTATAAGGTAAAGAGTGACGTGTCATATCTCAAGGGTTTCATAGAGGGACACCTCGATCTATACCAACCTGCCAGTTTATGCCTTTATCCTTTCTGACTTGTATCATAATAGACTGAAATCATGTGGATAGCATGTTGGCTCTACTCTCCCGCAAATGCCCATACTTTGCTTTGCTGTTGCTCATGGTTGACCATCTTCTTTCCACTTGTTAATAATGTGACTTTGCAGTCTCTCTTAATGTTCTTTCCTTGGTGATATTACTACAGCTATCAGTGAAGAAAATAGAAAGGATTCTCCAGTAAATAAATTTCTTATAATGATTTGTTTAAAATGCTACTCAGAGACGCAGGCCCGTGGACACATGTCTGCACAGCCCAACCAGACCATGTGAGCTCTGTTTTGCAAGCACAAACTAAGTTGGATTTTTTTTCTTTACTACAAATAATTCCAAGGTTTGAGTTTGCAAGCTGCTGCTTGTCATTCCCATGACAAAAAAAAAGATTTTGTATTTTTTTTAATTGCTAACAACCAACAATTTTACTAACACATTGAATATTTGTAATGATGGATGTATAAATTGCATATTAATAATTAAAAGCATGGTTCCCTGCATAGTTGACACATGAATGTCCATAAATGCATATTCCAGTGAGGTTTATGGGCTTGCCATAAAATCACACACCAAAAGTATATTCTGAATATTGGAATGATTTATGAGTTTTGTCTTGGCTGTCTTGTTTTAGTGTTCTTTTAAAACATAAAGAAAATCCCACTTGGGTGAAAACTACTAAATAAATACACAGGATTCTGTCTTGGTTTAGACGCATTACATTTTAGCTAGAATCACTTATCTGAAGTGTTTGTATCAAAATCAATAACAGAATATGACCTAGATTGATAATAAATGACTATTTTATTGGTAGTCCTTAGTAAATATTTTAGAGGCTTTTGCACTTTATGTTTATCCATATTTTAGGAAGAAATTTATTAAAAATAATTTAATGAATCAGAGAATGTGTATACACAGAGTATAAATGTTAGCAGCAAAATACTGTCCAGAATAACTTCTTTAAAAATAAATACAGTCTTCCTTTACTGTAACTACTTTTTAAAAAGTCACAAAGTGTGAGAAAATTGGTTTTGTGGCAGATGAATTGGGTATGAAATGTTTGTGAGCTTAAGGGTTCGGTTTGCACTGAAAACTGCATTAGTGCAAATTCTTGTTTGTGTATTCTCACTGTGGTTAGAATTATTTACCATGAATTAAAGATTTGTTTTTCAATTGCATGTATGCCAATTGTGAATGATAAATGGAAATTCATGAGATAAGTAAACCTGGCAGATAAGGCCACTGAGTCACAATCAGAAAAAATAAAAATAAAAATAGACCACACATAGAAGTCCCATTTCTCACTTTCTCTTTAATTGTAAGAGAAATATTAGCACAGAATATATCTGGCTTTAAACCTCTGTGGTTTGATTTTTAAAAGGCAAAGACTAGAACAGGCCTTTGAAAGTTGAAAACTTCATATATTTAAAGGATAAGGAGACCTGAGTGATGAGAATTAATTCAGTGCGGGCAGGTTAATATGACAACTTGTGAGGCTGTCCAGGACTGAAATGAATATTAAGTCTTCTTTTTCTGTGATGAAGGAAGTGACCCAGTTCTTTGCTGAACCCTGATGATCAGGTGACTTGTTATTATAGACAAGCACAGAAGTTACCTTTTTATAAGCAGACAGCCTATTGCTGACATTTTACCCTCTAATCAGTATCCAGTGTTTTCTCATTATTTTCAGCCTCTCAGACCAAAATCTATAAATTCTGTTGATTAAAAAAAAGACATACTTTGCTCAATTCAATTAATCTTCTTTAAGTATTAAGAAATGAGGTGGGCAGAATTATGGTCTGTTTAAAGGGACATTGTAAAAATTTATTTTTAATACAAAGAAATATAATGATGCATATTTCTATGTTGATTCAAAAATATGCAACTCACTAATAATCATTATTAGAAATAGATTTCATGATTTCTGAATTTTAAAAATATTTTCAATGAAAAAATGAACAAGTAAAGGAAGTACAGAAATTCCCACAAACACCTAGCACATAAATACTCTGTTTTGGTTATGTGAGTTTTATTTTGCTTTCTTTTACACAGGGCCGTTCCCACATTTCTTGTATGCCGGGAACTATCCGTCGCTGGAATTACCCAACTCCCCTCTGCATTGGTATGGATAACCTGTAATTGTGTTTCTGCACACATATGTTCTAGAGAACACGGTGGCCTGCTGACTCTATTCTTGGACTTCAAATGATGTATTTAGAAATGTCTTAATTTCAAGACGTGTGTTGTACGATAATAGCATAATAGTGTGGTAGAGATGTAACAAAAATGTAACATGTGCCCTCTCACACCGCATGCAGCAGGTCAGTCTTTCCAGCATTTTTGGGTCAGTTTACCCAGACTGCCTGTGCAGGGCACTAAACTCAAATTGCATTGGTATCAGAAAGCCAGTTTGCTAATTTGGGGGAAAGAAAGAATGTTGCTGGGCTGCAAATCTGAGCAGTTTTCTGTATAGATCTTTAGCTTCAGAAAAACAAAGTATTCGGAAACAAAATTCAGAAATACAGATTACCGATTTGAATTTAGAATCATAGTATTTCATATTCAATATAGCCCAGGGAGGAACCTGTGGAAGAACTTCCTGGAGTGGAGGTGGGGGCAGATCAACCTGCCTCTTTAGGGAAAATATTCCAGACCTTGCATTTGAATAAGAAAGACCTATTAAGCACAGATTATAGGATGTGAGTTTAGTGATTCTGAGGCTTCACAACTGGTGACCTTTGCCTCTGTTACAGGAAGTCCCTGAATGCAAAGGTCAATGATAGAGGACACAGAAGGGCACTTCCCTCATTCAGGCCTAAACCTTTGCCTGCTGCCTATCTGTTGTAGCCCTTACAAAAAAAATCATTACCAGCAGCTCATGTGGCCCTATGACCTTGCCAGATCATCACGCTGGTTACTTCAGTCTCCTATCCCCAGTCTAAATATTGACTGGTTTTTTCACCCCCACTGTCCTCCTGGATCACCTCCCTTTGAAAAGGCCATTCATTGCAACTTTTTTGCCTTGACAATAAATCTGGATATTATCTGGATTTCTCCCTCACTCCCCAAATCCAAGTGATTTACCACTCTTGTCAACACTTCCACCTGAATGCATCCTCACTCGTGATTCTTACCTCTAATGGCTTAGCTTTAAGATCTCACAACCCCTTCCTAAATTATTGTCTGCATAGAATCCTAAAACCCTCAGCTTCCACATCCAGTGATGCCCCAACATTATTATAGGGATGAGGCAAAAGAAAAAAAATCAGTAGTATTGATCTTGTCTTTATTGACAATTTGGCATTTTGTTCACCATAGGTATTTTTGCATTACTTCTCCTTTTTCCAAATATTGCACTAAAATATTGGAAGATTTAGACACACTCCTGGATTTTGTACTTGAGAGAGAGAGCCCTCCTTCCAATGTTGTCCACATGCCCACCTTCAGGTCTAATTAGCCATCCCTATCCTGAGTTGCTCACCATGTGCGTGACTCTACCTCTTTATATTGGCCTGTAAAGGCATCATGATGTAATCTGTCATCCTTATAATCCTCAAGGACTTTGACAACAGAGACATGTACCACTCACCTGTGTTTCTTCAGCACATGGTAGATACTCAATAATTTCAATTCAAGAATTAATGTCAGGTGGAGTGGAGTGGAGTGTAGTTACGTTACAAGTATACTACAGAAAGTTTAAGTTTACCACAGGAAAGAATTTCAGAGTAAATCCAAAGTAGAATTTAAGAAAAAAATATTAGAAAGAAAAGAGTATGCTCAGGGAAAAGCATGGATGTCTTACGAGAAAGGACATGTGCTTGCCTTTGACAAGAAGCTTTAGATAACTTTGCAATGATGATTAAAGAAACCATGAACTAAGAGGAGTGGGTTGCAGGTATCTGGTTACAGGTTTTGATGACCATCTCTCAACCTTCTAAGGTCATAGGGACCTTCTAAATAATGAAAGTTATTGCCTAACTAGATTTGGACTTTTAAAAATAACATCATGTCTGTATTTGGGGCAACTCCCTATTGTTTCTGTGATTTACTGTACCGATAGGTACATATTCCAGCCCAAATAGTGTCAGGTCTGGTATGTCTGGTTAGTCAGGTGAAGGTTGTGTACTGATAAGACAGATGTCTGAATGCTTATCCTGTTTTAATTTAGACCTGGCTACAAGAAATTTACTCATGTCTAAACTGCACTGGCTAACCTGCCTCAGAATAACCAGAAACACTATCAAGGGTGCCTTCTTCGTAGTTCCTCATAGCCTTCCATACACTAGTATACTTGAGGGACACACTCAGAAGCTCTTTTTCTTCAGATGGTTAACGTCAACCATTCCATATTGCCAGATGTTGTTTCAAGAGAAAGTGGTTACCTCTATATAGATAATGCAAACAATTTAAAGACCGTAATATATCCTTAAAATATCCTCTAAACTATTCACAAGTTACAGAGAATTCATTTTGCTGAGGAATATGTTAGTACAGTGTGTTGGTCCCCACAGGTAAAACAGGGTAATTACTCTCTGTTACCTGTTCTTCTGACAGCCTAGTTTCTCCACATCTCAAGTAAATCTTGGGCATTAAATGTCTTTTAGCAATATCCAATTTAACTACCTTGTGTGGGATGCAGATGGAATTGTGTACAGAGGAAAATAAAACTACACCATACCTGTAAAATAAACAAAACTTCAGCCTTTATGATAGTCTTGTCCAGGAAATAATGCCTCTCTATATGAAGCTCACCATAGCATATTTGTTTACTAGTGAAAAATGTGCCTTAGTGGGTCAGTGTCTTATTTTGTGAAAGTTGTTTTTTGATAAAAATAAATGTCTAGATTAACATGTCAGCTAAAAACCTGAAGTGGTTTGCATGGAAATTTAAAATCTCAGCTTTGATTTGAGAGGAAGGAATGTAAGGGTGACAGTGTCCTGTTTTAACTCACACAGAATATTAATCTCCCTATTTATTTATAAGTGAAGATCCTTCCTGTAAACTTGGGAACTGAAATATTTTAAACTTTGAAATAAAATAAATTGCAAGCAGGCATTCAATCAAATCATATGCCTTTGCTGTCACTTTATATTATGTAATAGAATGTTTAATTTGAATAGTCAACACATATTAGCAAAATATAAGTGACTTTTATATTATATTTTATTTAACATATCTTGAATATTAGCAAACATTGAAAATATATCAACTTCTGTAATTTCCTATAAAGTATAGAGCAAATTTTTTGTTGTTGTTGTTGTTGTTGTTGTTTTGAGTTGGAGTCTCACTCTGTCGCCCAGACTGGAGTGCAGTGGCCGCTTCCGGCCACCGCAACCTCGACCTGCTGGGCTCCAGTGATCCTTCCACCTCACCCTTCCAAGTAACCGGAATTACAGGCATGCACTACCATGCCCGGCTGATTTTTTGATTTATTGTAGAGATGAGGTCTCGCTGCCCAGGCTGGTCTTGAACCCACAGGCTCAGGCAATCCACTCACCTCAGCCTCCCAAAAACTTTTTTTTAATTGAAAAATCTCACACATAATCCATGATAAATTTCAAAGATCTATTCGAGAAATTGAAAGGTTTATTTCTGGTCAGGCACGATGGCTCAAGCCTGTAATCCCAGCACTCTGGGAGGCTGAGGCGAGAGGAATGCCTGAGTCTAGGCATTTGAGACCAGCCTGGGCAACTTGGTGGTACCTCATCTCTGCGATATATCAAAAAATTAGCCAGGCATGATAGTGCAAACCTGTAGTTCCTGCTACTTGGAAAGCTGAGGTGGAAGGATCACCTGAGCCCAGCGGGTTGACCCTGGGGTGGCCGTGAGCTTGCCACTGCACTCCAGTCTGGGCGACAGAGTGACTCTGGCTTAAAACAACAACACAAAGCAAACAAAAAAAGAATTTTTTTTTTTTTAATTTTTAGCTGTCAGCTTTAGATTAATCCAAGTAGGGACATTTTAGGATTAGAAATTCATAGAGAGATAAAATTTTAGTTATTAACTCTTGGAAATCTCATGCCCACTTTTGGAAAGTGCTAATACCAAGGAAGACAATGTATATAAAATTGCTTTTCTAGTGTCCCAAGTCTCAAGCGTTGTTCTCCAAGCTTAACCAACACTGACTATTTTGAATGTCATAACAAGCCCTAAGAATGGTCAAGCAGTTTTCCAACTCTACAGCTGAGTGGGCATTGACACACATTTTTTGGGAGCTCTGATTTTATGCTCCGTTGCTGATTCTTAGTTTTACAGACACACAACAACAAAAGGATTACATGTAGGTTTAAGTAAGTTCTCAAGTAATTAGGTGATTATTGTGTGTTTGGCAGATGTACCCAGTGGCCAGGCCCTTGGGTAGAGCTCTCATCACATGGACCATTGGCATTTGCTAGACAAATTTTTTAAAAAAGATTTCAATAACTTTGGGAGTACAAATAGTTTTTGGTCTGTGCACATTATGCCTGATAGGTGATTTTTTTGTCCCTCCATCCCATCTCCCTCCCTCTTCTGAGTTTGCAGTGCCCATTATACCATTCTCTATGTCTATGCAGATTCTTAGTTTAACTCCCACTTATAAGTGAGAGCACTTGTTTGGTTTTGCATTCCTGAGTTAGTTCACTTAGGATGATGGTTTTCAATTACATCCAAGTTGCTGCAAAAGACATTATTTTGTTCTTTTTGATGGCTGAATAGTATTTTATAGTGTATATACACACCACATTTTCATTATCCATTGATAGGTTGATGGGCATTTAGGTTGATTCCACATCTTAACAAATGTGAATTGTAGATACAAATTTTAACATTGATGATGACTTCTATCATTCCGGCCCTGTGCCAGTCACTCATGCAAGGTTGTCTCAATCCTCAGCTGAAGATGTACATGGATTTTTGTATTTTTTGATATTCATGTGTTTTTTTTGTAAAAATCATGCTAAAATCCAAAGGACTTTTGTAGTAATTTCACCTCTTTGACACTGGATTTCCTACATTTGTCATTGATTTGGCATTTTTTCATTTGTGTCTTCCCTGTGTTTGAATATGCAAATCTCCTCTTGTTACAGTTCCTAAGGACCTTATGGAAAGGAAAGTTTTGCTAAATATATGTCGATATGCTTCTCAGATCTACCAGTATATCTTCAGTAAAGCTCACAGGCTCTAGGACAAAGTGTAAACTGGAACCTAGCTTTCCAAATGCATATACCTCCCACAAGGAAGAGCCTTGAAAGGCTACACTCTAAAAAAACAACAAAGTTGATGTCCAAGACTTTTTTGGAACTATGACTCACACCAAAAACTTACATTTTTTTTAGCTTGTATTTTTTTTTTAACTTAAACAGTACTTGAAACCCAGAATGTGATGCTCTGGTTCCAGCAACCACCATATTCAATAGACTTGACTTTTAACTACTTCTCATATTAAATTTATAAGTAAAGTTTTTCTATGTTGATGATTAAATTTTTTTTTAAAGCTCCACTACAGGTCCTACTGAATAAAGGCTTCCAGAAAATGTTTTGTCTAAAGTATTTTGCCTGAGGAGAACATTGCAAGCATAAGAATAAAGACATGCCATGCAACTTCCTGGAAAGAAGTGACATCATTTGCATTGAGTTTGAAATATGAGAAATTGGCATTTTGATAGATTACAAATGATCAAATGTTAGAATTTCATGTGGTCCAACTTACATTCATGGGCATGTTTGTATAAAATCAGTCATGTTTCTTTAGAATCAAACCTCAGACATAGTAGCATGATTGGTGGGTGACCAAGATAAGACAAGATAGATGGATTTCTTTTCATCTTTTGACACATGATTTCTTGAGGAGAAAGTGATTACAATGAACTGCATCCCCAAATTGAAAAGCTGTCTGACAGTAATGTGTCCTGGCTAAAACTTGGGTTCTGGAACCAAAGCTGGAATAACACTCTAGTTGACTGTTTACCAGGTATGTCACTTGAGGCAAATTACTTAATCTCTTCCAGTCTTGGTCTCTTTATCTGTAAGATGAGAATAGTTATAACTTCAACCTATTAGGGTTGTTCTGAGAGTTAAGCAATGTAATGCATTTATTTCAGCACAGTAAGTAGCACATGGTTAGCAATCAATAAATAGGAATTAATACCACCACTCAACGAACAGCAGCTAATAAACTGAACTCCATTTGATGCCTGACTACAATGCAAACATTAAATAGGCTAACCTTTACTGAGAGCCTCTGAGCACCAGAAGAAGATACATTTTGAAAAATGGTCTTTATTCTTAAGCAGTTCACAGTCAAGAGGGAGAGCTAAGCCCATCAATAATAAGAGCGCCCAGCATTGCATTGTGTGCATAATTGAGGGCAGAATTCAATTCTGAAGACTTGCTCTTTCTCAGCATAGTCGAGCAAAGCAGGTCAGATGAAATATTTCTAGGAGAAAGCGGGCACCCGCAGGGCTAACAGCACCTGTCCATTTTCCAGCGACCTGTGGAGGGACACTCGGTACCTTGGCAGGCGTGATCCTGAGTCCCGGCTTCCCAGGCTCTTACCCCAACAACCTGGACTGTGTCTGGAGGATCTCTCTGCCCATTGGCTATGGTAAGTGAAAACATTTTTTCATCCCCAAAAGCTCAACCTTTTCATTTCTACCTGGAAGAGAATTACACTGTACAAGAATTGTGCCTTATTTTGTTGACATAACTGTATCTTTAATGGAAAGAGGCTTACAGATTTAAATAAAGCTTTGGCAGAAGAACTTTGAAGATGAAAAGTTATTTTAAAAATCATCTGAGCCATGCAACTCTTTTTCTTTTTCTTTTTTCTTTTTTTTTTTTGAGTCGGAGTTCACTCTGTTGCCCAAGCTGGAGTGCAGTGGCACGCTCACGACCACCACAGCCTCAACCTGCTGGGCTCAGGTGATCCTTCCACCTCAGCCTTCCAGTAGCTGCACTACTGCACCTGGCTAATTTTTTGATTTATTGTAGAGATGAGGTCTCGCCAAGTTGCCCAGGCTGGTCTTGAACCTGTGGGATCAGACAATCTTCTCACCTCAGCCTCCCAAAGAGCTGGGATTACAGGCGTGAGCCACTGCACCTGGCCACAGCTCTTTTTCAAGGCAAATTAAATTAGCTAAATTATGATATTGTAGGCACATGAAGTGCAAAATATAGCATTCCTGACTCAACTGTTAATCCCTTCATTCATAATAATGGCTTTTCTAATCTATCTCTGAGGGTCAATAATGGTTGTTGTTTCTTCTGGACAATTGTAAAAGTTTTTTTACAGTTGTAACATATTTTGAATTGAATATAAAACTTACATTTGAAAGAACGATATTGTTCTATAAGTTTTTGAATTACATATTACATTGCTTATAGGTTTATATGTACGACTTTTTATATTTAGTTATTAGCTTTCAGGTTATTCACCTTAAATAATTTATCACTTTAATTGCTATGGACACTGAAACCTAATCCTGGCATGTCCTCAGAAATGCATCATCTTTTGGTCTTTGAGAAATATGGAGCCTCATCATGCCTTTCTCTGTCTGCCTTTTGGCTTTTTTTGAATTTTAGTTTGTTCATTTGAGTTTCCCCTACTGGTGATCTTCTCTAAACTCTCACAATAGTGGACCAAACCAGGGGCTCATTGAATGTCCTAGGATGAAGTTGCTGGGGATTTAATGTCCCACATGTTAGTTGAATAGTGAATGAATGTAACCATGAATGAAAACCACCGTTCTAGAAGAATATTGTATTTTTCATTGTGTTCAAAGTTTTTGCCCTAGAATCTGTGTCCAGAAAGGCAGTAGCAACAGGAGTGAGCAGGCCAGGGTTGACCTGTTTGGCAGAGTGCAGCCAGGGGAGTAGACAGCTGGCACAGGCCCGGCAGGCTTGGCTGGGAGTATTAACAGGACAGCGTTGCTGGCCAACCTAGAATGTCACACAGGGGAAGGGCATGCAAGGGTAGCCTGTGGGACAGCCCGGGAGCTCATGCAGGTCTGTGAGCCCTTCACGAGGCCACTTGCAGGGCAGTGGTGAGCCAGGGAGTGAACCCAAGAAAGGATCAAAGGGGCCCTTTCTTAGCTTTTGTTATGTTTTATAAATCATAAACTCAGTGAGCACAAGGGAAGTAATTCTGCTAGAGCCAGATAAAACAAAGGTTTTTGAGTAACTTCAATCAATATTTGCACAATGACTCTCCCTATCTGGGTCTACTTTCCTTTCTATGGAGAGCTGAAGATGAGAACTAGTTGGAACTAATCTTTGGAGTCAGGAGTTAAGGGTTGGATCAGAGAGATCTGTAACTCAGGATAGTTTCAACAGGGTCTTAGGGCTCTTCAGTTTTGTTGTTGTTGTTGTTGCTGCTATTGTTTTGTTTTTGAGTCAGGGTCTCATCCTGTCACCCTAACTGGGATGCAGTAGCATGATCGAGGCTCACAAAAGCCTCGTCCTCCTGGGCTCAGACAATCTTTTCACCTTAGCCTCCTGAGTAGCTCGGAATACAGGCTATGCCACTACACTCAGCTAAGTATTATTAGGACTTTTCAGGTCACAATCTTGTCAGGTAAAATATTATAGTAGTTGAAAATCAGAGAAAGAGAGAAATTTAGACAAACTGTTGCTCTATATCTGATGGAGGGTTGGCCTTTCTTATATGAATGAATCTATAGGAACCTCAATTTTCTCCGCCCTATAACTAAAATAGTCTCATAAGCTTCAGGTGAAGATTAACAACAATAAAAAAAAAATGAAAGACCCCACGTAGCTACTTTTGTATGATTTCAAATACTTCCCACTTCCCTTTCAAAACTAACTAGAAATATTCTATTCATGAATGGGCATACATTTTTTTTAACTTGTTGTCCCAACCTTAGTGTTTTATAATTTCTGAGAATGATATCGTTTAATGTAGTTTTTATTAGGTTGGTGCAAAAGTAATTGCAACTTCAGATCATGAATTTTTAATCATTATAACTAGGTTCAAACACATCTTTATTAATCTAAATAGGAATCATTATAATCAACACATTTTTGCCAAAGAGAAATAAGTTTGTTTATTCCTGGAACGTAAAATCCATGTTTCAGAACTCGACAAACTCTTAGAAAGCATTTTCAGCTGGTTGTGAAGAAGTGTTGTCCCCACAAAAAGTTGTCGAGATGCTTGAAGAAGGGGTAGTTGGTTGGCGAGAGGTCAGGTGAGTATGACGAATGAGACAAAATGTTGTAGCCCAATTTGTTCAACTTTTGAACCCTTAGTTGTGCAACGTGCAGTCAGTTGTTGATGTGAAGAAGAAATGGGCCCTTTCTGTTGACCAGTGCTGGCTGCAGGCATTGGAGATATCAGTGCCTCACATCAATTTGCTGAGCATACTTCTCAGATGTCATGGTTTCACTGGGATTCAGAAAGTTGTAGTGGATCAGACCAGCCGCAGATCACCAAATAGTGATCATGACCTTTCTGGGGTGCACGTTTGACTTTGAGAAGTGCTTTGACGCTGTTTTCAGTTCAACCACTCAGCTGGTCATCACCAGTTGTCGTGTACAATCCGGCTTTCGTCACATGTCACAATCTGATCAAGAAATGGTTTGTTGTTGCATAGAATAAGAGAAGACAACACCTTGAAATGATTTTTTTGATTTTCGATCAGCTCATGAGGCACCCGCCTATGGAGCTTTTTCACATTTCCAATTTGCTTCAAATGCCAAACACCACAGAATGGTCGGTGTTGAATTCTTTAGCAACTTCTAATGTAGTTGTAAGATGATCAGCTTCAATGATTACTCTCAGTTGGTCATTGTCAACTTCCAATGGCCAGCCACTACAATTCTCATCTTCAAGGTTCTCCTCTCCTTTGCAAAACTTCTTAAACCACCACTGTACTGTACATTCGTTCGCAGTTCCTGGGCCAAATGTGTCATTGATGTTGTGAGTTGTCTCTGCTGCTTTATGACCCGTTTTGAACTCGAATAAGAATTTGCGTTTTGAACTCGCTTGAATTTGCTTTTTGTCCAACATCATTCCCATAGTCTAAAGTAAATATTAAATAAACAGAAAGTGATAAGTCATTAGCAAAAAATAAAGTGAGAAATGTGCATTAAAATGATGTATACCATTACCACTTTTATTTAAGAATGTATGCCAGTATCAAACAGCAAATATTAACAATGCAAAAACTGAAATTACTTTTGCACGAGCCTGAATATATTGTTCATTTATAAAGCATTATACAAGATAATCATTCAGGAAAAAAAAAGATCAGTGAAACCAAATTATCTAAATTAATAATCAGGATCTATGAATCTAAACAAAATATTTATTAAAAAAAGCAAGAAACAACATCTTTAAAATGATGTAAATCTTTTAAATATGTGGTTTGCATGGTATTGGAGTTTAAAGAGAATTTAGAATAAAAGGAAAAAAAAAAAAAACCAAAAACCAAAAGTCCTTTCTCTCTTTAATCTTACATACATACACAATAGCATGACATTTCCTAGCTTTTTAGAATAAATGTAGTTATGTTTCAGAATAATTTCTTACAGATGAAATTTAAATAATCAACCAGGATTTCCAGTGCTAAATCTTATCACCAATAAATATTTTTCTATATATGAAGTTAGAAATTTGGAGGAGATACTGGGTGCGATGGCACACACCTACAAACCCAGCACTTCGAGAGGCCAAGGCAAAAGGATTGCTTGAGCCCAGGTGTTTGAGACCAGTCTGGGCAGCATAGTGAGACTTCTCCACAAAAAAAATTAATTTAAAAAACTTTATCAACAAGGGTACTTGCATAATGAACATTTGAATATCTAACCTTGAATTGTAACTCACATCATTAAAATAAAAAAAAAAATTAAAAGAGAAAAAAAAATTAAAAGAGAAAAAAATTAGCCTGGCATGGTGGCGTATGCCTGTAGTCCCAGCTACTCGGGATGTTGAGGTGAAAGGATCACCTGAGCCCAAGATGTCAAGGCTGCAGTGAGCCGTGATCATGCTATTGCACTCCAGCCTAGGTGACAGAGTGATTCTGATTCAGAAAATATACATACATGCATACATAAATTTGGAGGAGAAGGATGGAAGGGGTGGTGGTTCCCCCAACATGGTCAACATTTGGAATTTTTACGCCCTCACTAGGAGCGCTTTCGAAGGCTTAAGTCATTGTAGAAAATTTTGCAGAATTGTAGAAAATTTTACTATCTAGCTTTCAACTCCTTATCAGCTTCGTAGTTGAAAACTCTAAATTAGTTTTATGTATTCCTAGCTTTTTAAAATTTCTGTCTCTTCTTCCTTGTAATGTCCACTACCCTATAGATTTATATCTTCCTTGTATACACTTAAACAACACTCTTAAAACAATATCACAAACCCTGTTCTCATATGCCAAGTCATACTTCAGTTGCATAGGAAGTATTTCATTTAGGTCACTTGAAGTTGTCTCAAACTCCATTGAGGTTATGGTTGCTCATGATTTGGGGCTCTGAGTTTAGCTGAATAGAAATCTTAGCTCTATTAATTACTGACAAGACACCACAATGTTTTTGTACCATTTCCATAATGAATATAATAAAATAGCACCCTCATGGCATTGTTCA